GAGAAAAAGCAGTTAATTTTTGAGAGGGACACATTTTGATGATGGAAAGCAAAGAAAAAGACTGTTGAAACCTCCATCAGATATTGTTAACAATATTTGTATTTCTTTAAAACATTTTAAAAGTAGCATTAAAAATTACAGATTTAAAGCTGTAGTTTGCAGGGATTACTTTTTGCTTGTTGCTTTTTTTTTTCCCTCCCAAAAAAAAAAAACCTACTAAGTTAAACTGGTATCTAAAACTGACTGTTTTTTAATAGCAATATGATTAGGATATATAAGCTGCAAGCCTGTAGTCACAAGTGGAATTCAGTCCTACAACTGCTTTAGGTTTGAATTTACTTAAGTCATAAAAATTGGTACCAGAATAAGTAGTCTTTTTTCTTTTTCTTCCTTAAAGAAGAAAATCTTGACTACTAGATGATTTAAAAAGTTACACAGAGCTTTCTTCTAGTCCATTTTGACTATTAAATAGCCACTGAATTTGACTGGACAAACCTACGTTCTTAATGAAAAAAGTGCTAGTTCTGAAGCCCTTTCACAGAGCAGGAGGTAAAAGGACAGTTTATGGGCGACTAAAGATATTGCTTATTAGGAAGGCAAAGCTTGTCTTCTAAATTAGACAAAAAAGTTTATTTTCTAATAATTTCTTTTAGCAGATAATAAACTACTCTGCCTTCCTAAGCAGAATGCCACCACCTTCTCTCTCTCTCACACATGCAGGCTCAAGGCAGGTAAAAGCACATCAAGCTGCGGTTTTGAAAAGAGACCACAAATTAAATTAAAATGAAGGATGGAGAGGGTTTGTTGACAGTGGAACTTCAAGTAAACAAACTCCTGAGAGAGTGTTTTTGCTTCCCAAATATTTAGACTTTGAAGAAAAAAGCCTCTACCATTGTACAAGTATATTTTAAAACATACAATAATGATATTCACAGTATATTTCTAAGATTACAAATAAAAAATCCTACAAACATTATCAAGTACAAAATTAGAAAGGCGCTGTGGTTTTACTGTGCCATTCAGTTCAGTTGGCCATAATGCTCGTTTTAGTCCCGCAGAGCCCTCAATCCATTCATCAAGTATCAGCTATATAGAATCAAGCGTACAACAAATTCCTTAGAATTAGCAAAATTAGTGCAGGTATATGAGAAATGACGGAGACACTCGGCATGTTATAAAAGGCAATGGAAAGGACTAATTATTTGCTTTGACCAAAAAATTCTACCCAATTCAGCAAATAATTTAGTGACACAGGCTACTTTGAAGAACTGGCACAGAAGGTAAGACCCAGAGATCATTTTCCCCACATACCCGGAAAAAAACCTTTATATAACGTACTACTATCATTCTAATCCCACGTGTAATAATATTTTAGCACACAAAGCCATCACGTCTAACTAAATGCCTAATGAACATCTTTTAAAAATCTTACACAGTCTTCTAAAGGACTTTTTGCTTTTAGATAATGAAGTCCATTACTAGTAGTAGCAAAAGTAAAATCTCAAGCCCAGAAGATCAAAACTGAAAGAAACTCTGAGGCTATTTTCTAGGCATGGGTGCAGTGCCCCTAGAACAAGCAAATACATATCAACTTAAGAAAATTTGTATAGGCCCTTGGTGCCGTTATGACTGAACATCCTTCTTGGCCACAATTATAGCAGTTGTGACCAAAGTTTTAAGGATGAGCCCTAAGATTCTTCTCCAGGTGAAAAGGCGGTTATAAAAAAAACAATGAAATCCTGATTATGAAAGGCAATAAAGAAAGAAGTGGGGCGGGGGGGAAGGGAAGACATATGGCATCTCCACAACAGCATATAAGCTACACTGGAAGATTACTGTCCACCACTACAAGAGAGATCAAAAACACAAAGAACAAACATGTTAATAAGGGCATGTTGCTGCCCCAACACTGAAAAAAAAGTACTTGAACCAAACTGCAGTTTGGAACTGACCAAACTATAGTTCTAACGAAGAACAACAGAAATCAAGCTTCCCAAGACAGAAAACGAGGAAAGCACAGTCCCATGATTAAGGCCATGGATTCAAGAAGCCATCGAGGTACTCTGCGTATATCTTGCGCTGACCATTACAATAAAGTATTTCAGATCAAACAGCCTAAAATCAACAGCCTTGTATCAACAAGGAACCCATGAGCTTATTAGTGTTGCTGCAGTCTTCACCAGAGACTCAGGAGGAGGAGAGAGGAGAAAGTAAGGAGGCAAAGAGGTAAAATTGCAAAAGACCCACCATCTTGAAGGACACAAACAGCAGCTATCACTGGTCTCAGAATGGCACTAACCAGACAGTACCCAACAGGTCAAAATAATCTTTGGTGTTAAGTATTCTGAGCATTTCCTGTCCTGGAACTTGTCTATTCCCCCTTCTCACATAAAATCTTGTTGACAAGTTATACGTTCATTGTAGAGGTGCAAAAAGAGGGCCTTCTTTCACGCTCATTGAGCAATAATCAGCTTCATGGTCCACATACCTTCTGTTCATATTGTGAACCCTTTTATAACTTTCCACGTTATTTTCAAATATTCACCAAAATTATAAATCTATTGCTAAAATTGCCTTTTAATGTAATAAGGTTGATATTAAAACAGTCTAGCAAGCAACATGGGAAGACAGTATATTGCAATGCCAACAATCTAAGAATATATTCCAAGAAACTTATTAATATGCTCCATAATATTTTTTGTTGGATTCTGAATTTACATATAGGCAGGCTTCTTAATGTGAAGTGTTCAGTCAAACGTAAAATTAAATGTAAAATGTAAATGTAAAATTACATTTTCACAAATGGGACACTTTCCAAATACTAAAGTGCATAGAACTCTGCCTGAAAAGGTGGTCCGTCCACCATGCACGGATATGGTATAATAGCCTGCACAGATTAAAAGCTAAATTTAATTTTACACCCAAAAAACTTCCTGGATGTTTGCCAGTTTAAAGTCAAAGCACACTTGTTACTACCCTGATAAAAAGCCCTATGTACAGGACAGAATTTCATTCTAACTTTACTTAAAAGACTGTCTGGCTCCATAATGTCTGAATGATATATTAAAAAGTCTGTATAAGAGAAAGGAAAAAATGGAGGTCTTTCAAATAGCACTTTTTAGCCTCCCTTTCAATAACTTGGACCACTTTCACCCTACTTGGTATCTTCTGTTGTTGCAAGTGACTCAGATAATTCTTCTTCCAGATCGCTTCAGTGCAAAATGTTAAAGCTTCTAATTTACACCAAAATACATTTTGTGTAATATAATTCTTCAATTTACTTCCTACAGGGATCAAATACAGAACATGTACGACTGAAGGCCAGGGAATGAGCTTTAGCACCTAATAATTGTGAACAGAAAGATCATCTTAACCAAGTATTCACTTGAAGAACTGTACTTAACACGATTTACTAGTATTCCAGAAGGACTTAAATTAAAACCCATCAGCAGAGTTTGCACACTTCTCTCCAGAAGTCCCAGAGACGGTAGCAAGTCTTTCCCTCCCCACTCCCAAGAAGATTATACTGAGTCTGCATACAGCATGTCAGAGAGAAAAGATAAAGGTACAGCAGGGAAACATCTACAGTAAGTAGCAAGGAAAAAAAGGAGTATAAAAAGGACCGAAGAAATCAAACCCTTATTCTAATAACAGTATGAACAGAAATTCAGCTCCTTCCTATTTCAAAATACATCACTTGTAACAGACTTTACACCTTATGATAGTAGAAATCTGAACTGTCCTTAACCTCATAAGCGCTCATCTTCTCTGTTCCCTCAGTTCAAAAATTCAGACAAAAAGTGGGGGGTTGTTTTTGTTTTCTTGTGTTTTTTAAAACGTATTATCACCCTCTCTTCGCATCAAGATTTTTGGAGCAAAAGCATGGGGGAGTATCAACTGTATCTAAACATTAAGGCTGAAACACATCCATTGTATCAGACAAGTCAAGCCACGAGTCGGATCCGCTAATGCCCATTACAAATCTAGTAAATGGCTCAAACTTTCCTTACACATTTCCAAATTTCACCGTATTTTAATTAACTCCACTTATGTCAGAAATTTTTCAAAAGTGCAGGGTCTACTTCTTACTGTCGTTATGAGTCCTTTTATTTTACAAAATAAAGTCAAGAAATCGTACAGCTTTCCACAACAGCATTTCAAAGATGTTTCACAAAAAGCTATCCTTTCTTTCGCACTAAAGCCAAAGAATGATTATGTGGTTTTATTATCCTCTCTGGAAAGTAGCCTCAGCTTGCTGGGTATCACTTCAGTAAGGCTTACTCTCAAGAACAGAAGAGTTTATGACTAGACAGTTGATCAATATTGACACTTTGCATCTGCAGCAGATGTTTTGTGAATTCTGCTAATGGGAATGCGGTGCCACCTGCCAGCAAACCAGATGGGTGCTGTTTGTTTAGAAGCTCACTTCTTTCTTTTTCTACTTATTAGACTAGGATTAGCATCACGTAAACATCTTTTTATATTCTTAAAAGCAGATTTACTCATACATAGCGCTTTCCTGTTGAGTCAGCCTGAGGTAATATTTCGGTACTATTTCTACTGTGAAGCGTAGATTTAAGAGGGATCTTTAGCAATGTGAATAAAACCGAGGTTTTTAAAACCTTAACCTGTTAAATCAAGCAAGCCAATGTCAAAAATAAGGAGAAATGTGGAAACAGCTACCAAACATCTTTAGAATAGAAAATTTTGGAGGCATCCAAAAAAAAAAAAAAAGTATTTTCATACCAGTAGCCTATTTCCAGTGGATATTTCAGTACCAAAACTCGAATTCATTATTTTTTCTTTTTCTGGCTACGATAGCTCTCTCTTCAGCTCAGTCTCCCCTGGGCTGAAGCCTACCGAAAAGCATGATATTTTTCCCACCCAAATGCAAACTACAATATCTTATTATTTAGAATCATTCTAAGAGACACCATTTCCTATCACGTACCTGAACATTATAAAAATAAACGTATAAAGGTGCATGCAGTGGACTGTACCTCATTTTCGCCACAGTCAGAAGGTGTATCCTTGTGTATAGCCATCTGATACTTGGCAAATAAAGCAGCTGATTGGCTGAAGGATGATTTGAACTGTGGGTCCTCAAAGGAGACGGGTACTAACCTCACCTTCAGAGCAAGGAAGATACAAGCATACTGTTTTGAGTGCATATAATCAGATCACATGCTTCTGAAGGTAAGGCTAGTGTAAGATCTCCTCCTATCCATTTCAAAGCCTCTGAAGTCAGTATTCTACTTTATACAGAGTAACAAATCTCATACGTGGGAAGTCTACTAATACTGCAACTAACACCGAGCTTAAACTGACTGTTGATAATTTCATTAAAGAAAAAAGAAATGATGCTAGAACACTCCAAAGTACTAGTTTGCTCAATCTATTTTTTGAGGAAGTATCTAATAAATCAACCATAAGTTTTTATTGTACAATTTCAAGGACTGTGCAAATATATTAATTTTAATGGCATATTATTAATTGTCTCCAGTTTAGCAATTGCATGTTCTTGCTACCTATGCTTTTACTCCAAACTTCAATTTCTTGTCTTTAATCTCAGGGAGGTAATGTGCCCAACACAGACAACTACTACACAGTGCCTGGTTACTACATGAAGCAGTAATGATGTGCAATTTAGAGTATACCGACTCCTTTTTTAAGGGTGTAAATTGAAAGTGAAAAGCTTCATATAACTTCTGTGAACCTTACGCCAACAATCTGCATGGGAGTGCAGAAATTCACATGATGGCCCTGATCACGCTTGTCCTCCTTATGCTAGCATTCAAACCAAGGCCAATGAAATTGATTACAAGTCCGTCTAGTTTTAATTCTTTGGAGATGTGTATTTGTAAGGCTCACAAAATATTTATCTCCAAAAGTCTCATCCCCTCCATCTCTTACCCAATAGCATCACCATATAGGTTTCTTCACTTTTCTGTCTGCAATGAAGATCAAATATTTGTGGCACCCACAAAGCAATACAAAAGAGTTTGCACTTTCAGGATGTTGCGTCTTATTTGATATGATATTTGACATGGTTTAGAGTATAAAAGGATATTTCTCCTAGACCCTATTCAAGACACGTGAAATGGAGGGGGAGCTGAAGTTTGCGTAAAATTCACTTGGCCTTCTGACCTGATTTATAGTTGGTTTATCAGGTGGGTCCTTGTGAATAACCATCTGGTAACGTTTATAGACCTGGTAAGACTCCTGAAATGTGGCTTTGAACTGTGAACTTGGTGGAGATGATCTCACCACCCTCACCTTCAGAAGAAGTTAAAGACATTCATTATTACAGTTCACAATAACTATATAAAAAGAAACAAACATCACAACAGAGAGAAACTCCGACTTCCAGCAAAAGAGAAGAGTCCTAAAAATTTAATTAATACATTGGGCAATAGATTTCCAATCCTTTAGCTCCATTTAGACTACTGAAGGTTTTTATATTGAACAATATGCAAGGTTCGGAAATTATGAATTATGATAACTAAAATACCTATAGAAGAAACACAAACAGTTTTCGGTACATAACACTAATAAATTACATGCAGAACAACATTTTAAGAAAAATTTCTATACTTTTTAAAAACTGCTCTTATTGTAGCACATTGAAAAATTCTAGAAAGATTCATGCATTTGGAAAACTCATCTCTACTCTCTGGATAAAGACCTTTTTTATTGCAATAATCCCAAGGGGACTACAAGATATTTTCCAAACCGAAAAGAGAAGAGGAAACAATGTTCCCTTATTCAGTTACCACTGAATTGTAAGAGCAAATTATTTGTCATACTAACCATCACCCTTACCAAAAAGAAATCCACAAATAAACACACACATACACACAATGACACAGTTCTTAGTAAAAATGGTTGCTCTCTGACCAAAGGAATGCTATCACATGAGCAACAATGCATTCCTCTTCAAACATATTTAAAGATGTGCTCATTTCAAAACCACGCAAATCTTTAGTATGGTTCAATTTTCACAAATATCATTAGCTCTGACCTATTTAAAAAAAAAAAAGTTGTTGACATTCATAGTAAGAGGCAAAGACAATCTGCAGAAAGATTGCTGGAACCATCTTCCTTTTAATTCTCCTCGCATTTTCATAATGAAAATGTTCAAACAGCCATTATCATTCTGTTATACAACTTATCAGAAAATTTGAAAGGCATAGTGAAAGAAATCACTTCCATGGCTTATTGTCAATTATTTAGGGTGAATCTTTTAAGTCACCATCACTACGTTTTTAAATAACTACCAAAAGAGTATTTAAAATGCAGTTTCCCACACTATCACTGATGATCAATAGCTATAGGAAAATATTTATATTCCGATAAGTTTTTCAACTTCCAGAAAAAGTTGCTGTCATGATTAATAAATGTTAGGAAATCCAAAAGTTTTCCAGATGATTGTCTTTATATTACTAATATACTTAATGATAACCACTGTATTCAAATAAGCAAAAATTTTCTGCCGCAACTCGATGACTTTGAAAGTCAGCAACACATATCCAAGACATTTATAAAAAAGAGCTATCATCTTAATGGTTTAATTTTACGAACAGTTACTGCTTTCCTGTCAAGATTCATTAACACAGATAATTTCAGTATTTAAACACTTCAGAACTAAATATTGCATCTCTCTCATCATTCAACACTTAATTAACTCAAAGTCTTTAGTTTTCATGTTACAGTATATGAAATCAATATACAGGTATTTTGTTAACTGCACTGGTCTCTGCCAAGACTGACTGTAGTGCAAGAGTGCCCTCACGCGGCCACACAGAATTCAGCTGTACCACATATTTTTACCTTTGATTTTAAGATTTCAACTATAACCTTTCCATAGAGTCACAGATACTAAATATGTAAGCCTTAAGAGAGTTTAAAAAATTCCTTAGCTAGACTTTTCCTTATTTTACCTTCAACAACAATGTAAGTATCATTACCTCTAACTTGTGTGCTGCATCATCAGGTAAAGAGACAAAAATGAAGTCTTCCACAGTCTTAGGTTGATTCGTTTTAGATTTAGAGCTTTGCAAGAGTAAAACCTGATCCCCTGCTTGAAGTGGAGAGCCTTCATACGTGCACATCTGGTTCTGAAGGAGTTTTTGCAGTTTTCTTTCTTTCCGTATGTCCTTTGCTTTTCGACAGGGTGGCTTGCTCAAATCAGCCCCTTTACCTATAAGGGCATGAAGAAAGAATTCAATACCACGTTTTGTAACAAACAAGTAGTTCTTACGTGATGACTGAATAGAAAAGAAACGGCTAAAATTATCATTAATTGAAGAGCACGGTCTGAACATAGCAAGATCTTTCACATCTACAACTGCCTAGGGGCCCTTACGCCCAATGCCAAGCTAAAGCGTTGCAACGATTTTTCCTGTACAGCTGTCTAACGCAGCAAACTAGAAATAGCAACTTCATTAAAATTTCATCTGAAAGTCTCAATTTCTTAATTAATACAGAAACGCATTAACCATGATCCCATATCAGAGGCAAGAATATATTTAAAAAGTAAAAAAAAAAAAAAAAAGAACTTCCTTTAACTTGGTGCTTACATCATTATACCACATCCTTCTCATGAAAGCAAAGAAAAGCTCCTGTTTACTGTATGGTGTGAAGACGCTCTCTATCCAAAGAGCTACAGAATCACTTTGAAATACTGAAAGAACAAAAAAAGTCACAGTCAACATATTTATTATACTGCATTAAAACCCAAAGAGCTACACAATATACTCCTGTAGAGGACTCCAAGCAGAAAGGATTTATTTCGTGTCTCCTGGAAGCCTGGTGCAGTGTACAGAGATACTGCCAACACCACTGCTGTCGTGTAAGAGAAGAATAAAAAGGCCACAATCTTATCTCTTTGCCTAAAATAATATTCAGTTTGTCTGTTTTCACTAATAGGTTTAATTTTACCAACTTATCTTCATTCCAGCAACAGATCAACTGTTCATCAAGTTCTATGTGTGAAATGGTGTTTATTTAAAACAAAAGTCAAACCTAGAAAACAAGAGGATCAACATCGAAAAGAGCAATAAGTACTACAGGAACTTAGTTTTACAGGAATAAAATTCCAAATAGCATGTACAAATATAAAAGCAGAGTGGTCCACATTCCTTAACAATGGGGTCAGGTTAATTTTATACATAAGACAGTAATGTAAGGTAATGTTTTGTAACAGCAAAACAAAGAAAAAAATACCCAAATCAAGATATGAGAATATCTGTACTATAAAAAATTAATACAGGATTTTCTTCAATAAGATGATGATGGCTGGTCCCCACATCATCCTCTAAGCGCACCAAAAGGAAGGTTACCAAGTAAATC